AATAAAAAATTAATTTAAAAAATGCAAAGAAATTTTCACGATATAAGCCTAAGTCACCTATGATATTACTTCAGCATGAAGATCGCCGGTGTTACTCTCAGGATTAAAAATGACAGAGCTCGACCTTTCCACTTGGTCAGCACTTACCACGGTACTCCAATTTAACGAACGAAATTACTATTGCCGTCTTATTATTCGACGATAATAACTGATTTTTTCGTGAAAACATCTGAACTGCAGTATTGCGAAAAATTACGTCGAGCGGCGCGGAAAATCGGGGCGGCGGGGTTTGCGATATCGGACAAAGAGTCCGTTCCGGTAACCAACTTAACCGGAAACTTCGAATCAAAGCAAACACGGCGAAAGTGCCCGCGGGGGTCAGCTTGGTCGGCTCGGCGCTTCATCGTGAAACTCGATTTACTACTGGCGCGTCGTAATGCACGCGCACTTCTCATCGTCATCGTCCTTGTCCTGCTCGTCGTTGTCGTCCTCGCCGTGGCGCACTGTCTGTTTGCGCGTAATTGGGAAGCTTAAGACCGAGTATACGATAATAACGCGAGTTTCCCCACCTGATCGAGTTACTTGGATTGTCTTGGCCGCCGCGGGGGGACGCGCCGTTGAAAATAGACGGAGAGGGAGAATCGCGATTCCTGAACGGCTAACGCCACCGCCGCCGCCGGTGGTTTGGAAATTGCATTTGCGAAACATACACATACCACGCGGTGCCGCTTCTGCCGCGATGCGCCGTAATTTCAACCGAGAGAGCGTCCTTAACTTGGCTAATGATTCCAACTGTTATCTATAACTTCCTAATTATTACGATTGCTATCCTTGATTATATTGTAGTCGTAATTCACGTTATTGCTCTCCGTTCACGCCAGAACGCACGAGCGCGATGTCGCGACTCCGACGAAATAAAATAACGTTCAAGCAACAGGCCCGTTGAACTCTCTCTCTCTCTCCCTCTCGATTTTCTCGTAAAATAATTCCCGGCGATGTTTCCACGTGCGCGAGCACCGTCGAAGAAAGAAACGAGACTCGATGAACCACGCGCACGTGAATCGGTGGAGACGACCTTCGCGATATCTCGCGCTATCCGATTGAACCGTCGCTTTCTTTCGCACGGATTCGGGAAAATCGCGGGTCATCAGACTGGCTTTCGGCCGAATCGCCGAGGCTTTATCGACGCGCCCGAACCAGATTATGGGAGTGCGTTTAATGCTCGCGTGCGCCGCACCCCAACAAACGCACATACGGGCGGCCTCTAATATGGTGGCGCACAACAGGTATGATAATGCGAGAGTCGGACCGGCCCGCTGTTTACACCGGGCAAGGGATTAAAGTAATGCATCGATGCACCGGTTCGCCGCATTGAGCCAGATGAAGAGATTTACCCCCTCGCGCAAATTACATACGCATTTAGCGGCGCTCGCGCGCATCATCGCACGAGATCCCCCGCAAGCGTAAACCAGCGTGCGCAGTATCGCGTCTTGCACAAGATATCGAAAAATGCGCGATTAGAAAGGTGTATTTGAGATTCGCTGGATTATCAGTCACTGAAGTCGAATTATTAAGTATTTATTTTATTTATTTTACGAAAATTTCACAAAAATACGACTTATTTCTGTGAGATAAACCTTATATCCCACAAATGAATTTTCAAGTATTCTTTTCTCAATGTAAAATTAAAATTTCGACTGAAGTGTCATTCGAATGTGATATGATTAAAAAGCCAACTCCTAATATCTCTAATTTTTTTTTAATTTACAATATCGGAGTAATTCAACTTTTCCACCGAATGGCGAAATCAGGATATCCTCGGAGAATTACCCTACAAGATTCGCGTAATGCAATGATGCCGAGTAAACATCCCTTTGAAGGAGTTCCATGTCCGTTGCTTATGGCACAGTCATTTAATGGATTCCAAATAGGGTGCCTCGCCTATAGCGTATGCTCGCGCAAAGCGCAGGCTGCAATTAACCACGCTGATTAGGCAATGCGCTTTGAAGTGACATACGGATAGTGAAAGGTTCGTATGTCCTGTGTATCGTTGATTTTATACCCAAAGGACTCAAATTTCTCGACGAAATGATCGAAACGACGGACACGATGACACACGACGAGATCGTAATAGCAATTTTCCGTCGAGCGCGATTTTGTTTCGAGCGGAGAATTCTCTTGATTACGCATCTGCTGTCTGTTCCACGTGCAAAACGTAGAATATTTTGGACGAATTTCGAGATCGCCGAGTATTTCATGACGAAGTTGCGCGAAGTTTCATTAATAAACTTAGTCCGACCGAGTACTTCGAAGAAGGATTAGAAGTAGTTATCGTTTATCGATGTGATGAGCTAATCCTTGACTAAAACGACGCGGCAAGTTACGACAAGATATCGAGAGTCTTCTGCCAGGAGTTGGAGCAAATTGGAAGAAGAGTATTGGGTGGTCGGGGAAAGAGGACCGCGAATAAAAGCAGCATTGGGAGAAGGGGGAGGATTTCAGACCAAAGCGCGCCATCAAATACGCATTCGGAGGATTTACAAGTTATTCAAATATTCTCTGCCCGGTAAGCTATGATGAATACTCGGTGTTCCAATTTAATCCCCTTCGAAGCCCCCGCGCTCAAACCATACCGTCGCTCGCTCGTCCGCCCGCTCGTTCGCTCGCTCGCTCGTTTGCGTCCGCACTTCGGTTGTATTCAGACGATTCGTCAACGATTCGCTCTGTCGCATCGTGGAAAAATTCGCGCGAGCTCGATGACCCGCCGCTGGGGAGAACAGTTCGGTGTAACTTGCGGTGGAACTCATTTTCGCACAACAGCGAGACAGCGAAAATTGAAACGAATCATCGATCGCGGCCCGGCGAAAATAAACGTTGCGCGAGATTAACAGAATATATTATTATTGAATTGCACGTTGCTTAAGCAGACAGATGAAACATCTCGTGAATTTCGTCTGCGGTTTGCCGGAATAACCATCGGCGCGTGTCGAAATTCAGTAGATTCTATTCTTGATTCTCGCGGATCTCTTCGCTTCCCGATTCAAACCGTTAATTCGTGTTTTCAATTAATGCTACGGAAACAAATGCTAACAGAGCTCCCGCCGTATTTGAATGCATTAATTACATCGATGCATTAATGCAAAGAACATGCGAATCTCAAAATACATCAGAGAAATCACGAACGCGAGATTTCCTAGGGCGCGTTTCAAACACGGGACAAACGCGAGAAGTTTCCGCGTTCGCCCGGAGGCGCACACCCACATTGTTCGCAATCTGTAATACGCGATGCGTAACTACTGGCTACCGGTTTATTTTCGCAGCACGCGCTTACGTCGTACAAAGGCCGGCCATTAAAAATACCACGTGCGTGTAATCCAACAAAACGCGTCGTCGCATTTATCACCGGCAATATCGAGAAATATTCACGGCGGCAACGCAAAGCATGCTCGCGACTCGCGATAACGCCTCGATACGATATGCATTTGCGCTTTTCGCGGGGATATCAACGTAAGAGCGCCAATGGCAGATATGAATTATCCGAATGCGTCTCTACCGGGCCACTTACGCGAATTGCATATCGCGGTGGCACCGCATACGGGCGTGAAGTCACACGAACGACGATGCCGCGAGAGATGGACAAGCGTTGTTATCTGAATAATCATCGTTGCCGGGACGAGGCGCACATCGCAAAACCCACAGAGCTTTATGAAGCGACGTTAACCTCCTCTGACGAGCGTTGGCCGCACGTGCGAGTACGGAATTAATGTCGCCGAAGCGAATTGATATTTTGATCACGCAGGTCGGAACGACGCGAGCGAGTGGCAGCGTAAACGTAATTCCGTTTGCGCGTAATCGAGTCCGGGGAGAGATCGGTACCGTACCGTAAAACCGGACTGTCGCGAAAATGACCTCGTATTTGTCGTTCTACCAGTTTTAATCTAACGACGGTAGCGGCGAGGTGGAGAGTATGTCGACACGAAATAACGATACGATAATAGAATGTGAAAAAGTCTTCCTCCCTTGTAATAAGTGACTTCTCTCTCTTTCTGTAAACTCGGGAATAATCGTTAGCAGAATGATTTACTCGGAAAAAGCGTACTCGAGCTACGAATGCGGACTACTCGCAGGCAGAAAGTGGTAAAATCAAACAATGACCCAGGGCGCACGATAAAGGATCCCGAATATCGCGCGTGAGAAGAAAGTCGCTCGCAAAGCCCGGTGCGAGCCGAGGAAGAGAGAGACTGTGAGCGGCATCCAGCGTATTGCACGAGAATGGGAGCCGAGAACAGCGGTCGATAGAAAACGTTGCTCGCTAAACCGAGACTGGAACTCGATAAACCGGCCCTCGTACGAAATAATAGCGCCGCGATGCGTGTAGCGTCACGAACGAGCGTCGAGAGAAAGCCCGAGAGCTGCCGAGTGGTCGGCCAGTGGTCAGCCGGGGTTGAGCGAGGAGGATGACGATGTCGGGACGATTGCGTTTCCATCGGGGAGAGCACGGTCGCCTTTGTCGCGGCGCGGAGCGAAGCGGAGAGAGCGGGTAATAATGGATAATAATGCTTAAACGGGCGATCGTCGACTCGATTCGACCGCGTATCGACGATTCGATTGTCTCCGCTATTGCACGGCCGGCCATGCGTGTCGCCGCGGCCGCGAAGTGCGTCATTCACGCGGCACGAACACTCTCCTCTCCCTCTCTCTCTGAAATATATCGCAGCACTCTCCGCCTCGTTCGGCGACAAGAGATTTGCAGCATCCCGATCGCAAACACGTGCGGCGAATGTTACTTTACGTAAGAATCCCGCGATATAAAAAATTCTACAATGATATCGAGCCTCTTGAATTGTAATAATATCCTTCATAACACAGTAATTACTTCAAATAACAATTTCATATTCGCGATTTTTTACCGTAACCGGCAAACAATGATACGATTTTACACGTCATAAATGTCTCCTTATTGCGAATAATAGATACTCGCAAAACTCATCGACACATACCTGATTTTTGCCTTTGAGAACGAGGACATTGGTGACGCGGCCAAAGGGTACGCCCAGATGGATGATCTCTTGTTCTGACACATCGTTAGGTATGTTCCTGATATGAATGACTCTGGAAGGCTTGCCGCTGTGACTCTTGTCGAGCTTAACCTGGAACAAAAAGGATGGATCCCGCGTGAGTCATCGGATAAAACGAGCTGAGAACTTAATGCCCCCACTTGCCATAAATATATAACCCGCGGAAGCGAGAGGATATAAATGGTCTCATAAATAAGAAGCACGAGAGGTACGCGCTAGGATCATCTAATATCTAGAGAAATAATCCCGCCGCGTCCCGACTCTATCATTATAACGCGGTAGATTAAGTTTAAACATCGCCAACGTTCGATGCTCGCTTCCTGTTAATATTTATCACGACATTAATGGAAACCGTTTGCGCCCTGAGAAATTGTGAGCAAAGTTTTGGCAGATACCACCCGCCACCACCAGAAACATATGCCGTTACAGATCAGATATTCTGCACCCTCGGCGCGCACACGCAATTAACGAGATAGTATCAATTGTCCTGTATAAAGCCTGTGCGAGCCGCACATTACGTCCTTCTTCCATGGAGGACCGAGTGTGAACCGGGCGCGGAGAATTAACTCGCACGGGCCATTCGAGTAGAAAAAGACAAACGTGGTCAGCCCGCCGGCCGGCCGGTTTTCGTCGCGCGAACGAGCGTGCAGGCGAGCAAGAGAGACGAAGAAGAGATTTATTGAATTCCCGACCAAGCTCGCAATCCCGGCCTCACTTACATTATTCCATATGCGGCGATCGGAAGTCGAAGAACGCGTCCGGATATATACCTCGCTTCGCATGTGTACACTTAAATCGAAGCTCGTGCCGCCGCGGGCGGAGTTTTCAATCACGGCTCTATCTAGTCGAGCTCAGTCGAGAGAGGGAGAGAGAAAGAGTTTTCTCTTCCTCCTTCTCTCCGAAAACCCCCGAAACTCACCCTCCCAACTCTCACGGTTTCGCCGCTGCTTTTCCTCGTCTTTTTTCCCCTTACCTCTTTTCCTAGCCGTTCCGAGGCTCTCTTAGGAACGTAGCTGAGGTTTAGTCGGGCTTAACTGATCGGAAAACGCGCTTCTTACCGGGTTAAGGAAGATGGATATTTCAGAAGCGCCCCATCCTTAATCCTCTCTCTCTCTCTCTCCCTCTACCTCTCTCTTTTTTCCCGTTTCAGAACGGAGTTCGAACGAGCGGCAGATATTTCTATTTAAGCGTGTAAATCGATACAAGGAGGAGAGGGTGGGGGACACGAGGCGGATAATTAAAAACACCTCGCGGATTACAGCTTATTAGCGGATAATTGATTTGATTAATTCGTTTGACGCGGACAAATTTACAACACGATGGAAAGTATAATTAAATATCCCAGAAAATGATAAAATGTATATGCGACACAAATCCAAGTTCCACAATTGTATAATATGCGTTTATCCGCGTGATATAGAGTCGTTGTTCAGAAAAGAGATATACGAGGAATAAAAAGACATGTAAAGAATATAACAGAAATATCAAGCGCTACACTCTTGAACGGTACAGAAACATTCGGACGACTATTTTTCTAAGTTTTCCTAAAATATATTGATCTAAGAAAATCATTGAAATTTCGGCGTGTGAATACACGTAATACACGTAGGAGGATCAAGAGAGAATTAGTTAAACGACTCATCTTTTCCTTCATAATCACCGCGCGGCCAGCTCGAGTATAACGGAAGTGTGTGTAAGGGTGTCCCAACAAGCCACGAATGAATTAAAAATCGACCCTTGCTAACGTTCTCCCTTTACGTCCTCAATTTTCCCGTTATCCTTTTTGTGATGCGACGCGGTCACGTCGCCAACTTTAATCTCGCTTGTACGAACTGCTAGGACGCGACGGCCACGACGACGACAACAATGAAATCGGATTATAACGAGTTGGCGTGCCGTATCGCGGCGGTGTGCCGACGTCGTAATAAGGCAGATTCCATGACGAGGGTAGCCGGCGATAACTCGCTGTGGAACGCGTTTCTAGCTCAACAGGTCAAAGTCGCAGCGGCGCAGCAAGTGCGATTCCCTTTCGAACGCCCGGACGATTTTCCGAAGCACGGAGAGCATAAAAGGTAAGAGAAAAAGAAACAAATAGAAAGTTGATCGTAAAATTCCCGTTGACGAGCGAACTCGATGAAATTTCTCTGTTCTCGTCGATAACCGCAGAAACAGAAGGAAGTAACACGGGAGCACCAGTAGCGACCAGAGAACGTTCCTCTGCCTTCTACGTCGCAGTTGTAACGTCTGTCTCTTGCGTCTAGCGCGTCTAAGCTCAGCCACTAACCGTCGTCGGTTGAATCGACCGTAAACGCGAAATGCCCGAAGAAGGCACTCCGGAGACACGAGGAATTCTACGAGCGCATTCCGCAGAGGGTCGGGCTACGAGTGGCTGTCGATCGAAAGAAGAAGAGTCTTAATTGCTCGGTGTTTCTTCGCCACGCGCGAAACGTGAAACGCGGTCGTCGCGCAAACAAGCCTCGCTTCGAGTGCTGTTCATTCACCGTCGAGAACGACCTCTCGAGGACCATCGCCGCCGCCGTCTCTTGTTCAAGCCTGAACAACATGTTTCCAGGTTCTACACTTTGGGTTACAGGGCGGCACAACAGCATGGCTTCAGCTCCCTTCTCGGTCGTTCATTCGCCACGTCTAAGAACATCAGCTCGAAGCGAGGCTCGAGTTACTCGTCGCTTAACAAATTCGTCGTATGTTCATTCTGAAGTGTTAACAATGACGCTCCACTGTAGTTCAAAAGGGTCGAAAAAGAAACTGACTTTTTTTTCCATTTTTTTCCGCGAAAAAACGTCTTATTCGATTTTTTTCACGGATCTTTTCAGTTTCTTTCCACAGAAAAATGGAATAAATCGGTTTTTTAAACCATATGCTCTACCGATGTCGAGATTTTTTTCGACAGCATGACATTTCCGCAGGTAGTCCTCGAGTTTCCCCCTGCCTCTCTCCATTTCGCGCCATCGCATCTGTGAAACTCGGATGAACCTCTCGTAGATCACCCTCTTCATCCGAGCCGATAATTGGACATAATAGAGGCAATTCGCGGAAAATCGTTCGTAGGAAATAGGCCACGCGAGTCTCGTGCGTCACGACGCCGCCGGGCGCCACCGAAAGTCGAACGTGACCCTGCGATCTGATTTATCGACAAATGTCCCCGGCTGCATGCTCGCGATAGCGTGCAATTCTTGTTTGACATGGGAACATATATTCCCCGCTGTTACACGTATCAGTGTCATCGCGTACACCGTGCGCACATATGATAAGAACTTTTAATCACGACTTTTGTACGAAAGAAAGAATTATAGTTTGATTTTTGGAAAGAATCTCTTGCGGAAAACAAAAAGAGAAAGAGATGCTCGATTTTAATAAATATCAGTCATAAAAAAATTACGCATTGGCAGTTACACCATTGACATTATGTAAAAAGTCTCGTTACAAAAATAAAGCTCTTTAACACGCGCGAATTAAGACGTGATTCGATAATTGCTACGAATATACGAGGGCGCATCTTCGCGTCTTGCGCGCATTCCTTATAAAGTTTCGCGCGGATGCACGCTCAAGATGTCGTAAAGCAGAGAGCCACGGCAGTAATTGTAGCTTCGCCCGTATCTCGTGTTACAGGAGGCGTTACATCTGAAGCGCCAGTCCCGCGCGAACGATAAACACGTGATCGTAACTCGTCCCTGTGTATTCTATAAATGTTGAAGGTAAAGCGTGTAAAAGCGGAGTTAACATGCCAATAACCTTTACGGCGCTGCCGTTAAGCGAGTGTTGCCAGCCTTAAAAATATCTGTAAATGAAAGCAGCCCTTGTAACGGATGTTGCCTATTACACAGACACATCGCGGCGATCGTCAAAGCGGTCGTTACGAGGAAAAAAAAAAGGTGAGCGAATGCCCGACGATCGATCTTCCGCGCATTTCATCCTGCGACTCGCACATCCTGACATTTGCGGTGTATCAGGCTCGATTTTACCACGACGAACGCTAAATGATCCATCGCGCGGTCTCCAGCTAATACGACAATTAGCCGCACGCGCGCATGTATGCGCGGGTGTATGTGTGCTCGCGTGGACGAGACAGAGCATATTAACATCTTTGAAAGGAACAAAGTTTCGAATCTGAAGTGTAGACCAAGTTATCTCATTACGACGTGTACTTTTAGCTTGCGGGAGACAGCAATCCCGTATTTCTAAGATAATATTCGTAAAAATGTTACGTTAATGCACAGCGTAAAGGGCGAAATGACGGATACATGTTGTGATGTTATTCAATTAAATTAAATATAACGAGATCTCGTGTTATAATAAATGAGACGACCTCGTAATTCCAGCCATGTTTCCCGACATTTCTATAAAATACGTATTATGAGTTTTTCTCTCTTTTTCATTTTCTTTTCATTCTTATAGAACATCTGAATTTGTACTTATCTTTTACCTTTCAATTTATATATTTCTACTTTCTGTTTCAATGTGTGTGTGTGTGTGTGTGTGTGTGTGTGTGTGTGTGTACAATAAAAAACAAAAAGTTAATTATTTGACATAACATATACGTGTGTGTGCGCGTCTGCATAAAGAGTACAATTGCATTATAAGAATTAAGTTAATAGAATTAGTTATATACACATATGTTTTTATTTAATATTAACTTAATTCTTATAATGCGATTATACTCTTCTAGTTCTTAGAGGATGAAGCCTCAAGCTGAAATAAATGCATTTTTTTCTCTCTACCTATTTGTATGCTTTTTAGATATTATGATTTATTTATATATAATTTGTCTTGTATTATTATGTGCATTTGAGTTAATGTTCTAGTGTTATGATTTCGTTTGTACACATTCTATTCTGTTTTATTGGGTACGCTTGAAGGGACATTGCGCGCCTAATAAATGTAGCGTTTTCTCTCTCTCTCTCTCTCTCTCTCCCTCTCTCATAATTTATACAGTGGAAAATGTTTAACCCAAAATGTTCTCGCAAAATTCACCGTAGGAAAGTTAAGGCGTTTTCGTGCAAAACGGCTGGGGAATGGAATAAACCGCGAGCGCGCGCACGACGTATTCAACG